CTAAATAGCTTTGTAAATCCTGAAACTTTTATAATATCACCCACATGCGTATGAATGTCATGTCGTGCATAGGTACCCGTGTTTATAACATCATCAAGCCTCTGAGGGCATCCCATCATATCATCTCGGCCACTTTGGGCAAAATCATCAACGTATAACAGTTGATCAGGTGGTGGTGCGTATATAACGCCGTAACTTTTTTCCATATATATATATATACGCGTATATATATATATATAATACCATCTGGTCATGGGCCAATGTAAATGAATGCAATACATGAGAAGTACGTCAATAAAATCTTTCGAAGTGTCATAAGACCATTATGTATTTGAATAATATCATGAAATAAACTTTATCAACTTACGTATTTTCTGAGACTCATGAACAGATGATAGAATAATATGACACATGGGGAATCAAGAACATAAGCATCTCTAGTATTTCAATGAATATAGTCATTTATGGAAATTGTGCATTTGCTCGTTTCGTTTGTGTCGTATAGATCATGCCAAAAGAAAGAAGGGATAGCCTTAACATACCTTAGTCGATTCTCTTGACAATCCCTCTAACACACGTTAATTGCGACAAAACACATGACTGCAAGATCGGAGTAGGAAAAAATCAGTATGAAATGCTCGAAGCAATAACATTGCTATGCAAATATAATCTTAGCTAAAACTCTTTCTCAAGAGATTTAGAAATGACGTTACTATGTTCCTTGGCTGAAACTCTCTCTTAAGAGATTAGAAAATTGTTGTTGAATTATGAATGTTATCCTTAACTTTTAGGTTGGCCCCACATTTCAAGCTTGGTGTCACATTTCTTTATTAAAATGTGACACCTTTCAACCTTTATTAATAGTCATTAGATGGGAAAGGGATGCTTTCACGTTGGGGACGGGTAAGTCTTATCCCAAGGTTATTAATTAATTACCCACTAATTTTAGTTAACTTGTTAATTTTCTCATTAACCAATAATCCACGTAATTAAGAATTATCTCAAATTATCCAAAATACTACTCACTTTTAATACACTTTATGTACCCTACTATCGTGGTCATGTGATACCTTGTATGACAGTAGTCCATAAATACCGGGTATTATAACTCAGACCGTATTCTATCCCATATTGACAAACTTCGATAAAACTTACTTTCTTTGATTCGTTTACTCTTTAACCTCCACGGCACTTACTTATCGCTTGTTATAAATAGCATAAATGCTTATAACATCAAGATAATCTCATCCCCGAGTCTACGTCGATTAACTTACGACGAAACTTTTACGTACGAAAATGCGAGATGTAACATAAAGATCCATCCCAGAATATATACATCAGCTGACCAACAGTCACTCAGTACTGAGTAGGGCCAAATCCAGCCTGTGAGGAAGATCCATCCCCATGTATATATATGCTTCAGACAAGATTCATGTCCAGGGAAGATCCATCCCTCAGTATAATCAACCGCGCTCACCGAGGGTGTGTGCAGACTTCGGAGGGGGTCCTTCAGCCCCAACACTATCATAAATCAGTATAACCACTGGGGCGTGCATCCCGATCCCATATATGTAATCAATATAACATGCTGCGACGTGTAGCTCGATTCATATACGTAATCAATATAACATGTTGCGGCGTGCGGCCCGATCCTATAATATCACTTACACTCAGGCCCTCGGTCTTACTCAGTCATCAATATCTCCAGTCTTTCGGGCTCACAATGCCATGAAACTAGCCCAAACTGATAATATAATATGCCAATAAATGGTAACAGAGACTGAGATATGATATGCATATGAATGCATATGACTGAGTATATAAAGCGATAAAAGCAGATAACTCAACAGCAGGAATGACCTCAGTGGGCCCCAACAGGATAAGCATGTAGCCTAGACATGGTTTCTAATATAGATCACAACTCAATAGCCCAAATACGTATGTTTTTTCAAAATAAATTTGTGAAATATGTTTTGAAAACGTATGTCCAAACACATTTTTATCTTCAAACAAAATTTCACCCAATTCAGATTTTCAAAACAAATTTGGGAATTATGACCAAACGCTAGCGTAGAAATTTTTTGGTTACCGGTAAGATTAGGTAACTACACAGTACCACAGAAATAACGGAGTCATAGTTCATACGGTGCACGCCCACACGCCCGTCACCTAGCATGTGCGTCACCTCAACACCAATACATATCACGTAATTCGGGGTTTCATACTCTCAGCACCAAGTTTAGAAGTGTTACTTACCTTGAACAAGCCAATTCTAATACCGAGAAAGCTAAGCGATGCTTCAAAAATGCCATCTCGCCCGTATCGACCTCCGAACAGTTCAAAACTAGCCAAAAGCAACTCAAATACATCAAATAAAGCCCAAGGAAATAATTTCAAATGATAAAGGTCGAATCCTTAATCAAAAGCCCAAAATCGGCTAAAAGTCCAACCCGGGTCTGCACCTCAAAACACGACAAAACTCACAAAATCCGAAAACCCATTCAATTATGAGTTCAACCATACTAGTTTCACTCAAATCCGATTCTGAATCGATGTTGAAAACTCAAAAATTCACATTATGAAACTTTAGGCTAAAACCTCTAATTTCTCTTTAAAATTCATCAACCAATTGCCAAAAATGAAGATAGATTCATGAAATAAGATCAAAATCAAGTGTAGAATAGCCTCAATCTGAGTCCCACACCTTAAAATATGACAAAAGAACCAAAACCTCGATTTTATAGCTTCTGCCCAGCATCTTCGCATCTGCGAACCAAATATATGCTTCTACGGACTCGCACGTGCGTTCAAAATCTCGGTCCTACAGAAGAACACTGGTAACCTTCCCCCGCACATGCGGCAGAAAATTCGCTTCTGCGATCACGCATGTGCGGAAAATAGCCTCACACCTACGACACTTCCCTGTTCCTGTTATGCCACTTCTGCGGCCTCTGCCTCGCTTGTGCGATGTCGCACCTGCACCCAAAATTTTCCAGGTGTGATCAGGACTACTCAAAAACCAGCCTTAGCCAAAATTTCCAAAATGCTCCGAACATCGTCCGAAACTCACCCGAGCCCTTCGGGACCTCGTTCAAATATACCACAAGTCTCATAACATAACACAGACCTACTCAAGGCCTCAAATCACACATAACAATATCGAAACGACGAGTCGCACCTCAATTCGAAGTTAATGAACTTGAACTTTTCAACTTCCATAACTCGTGCCGTAACATAGCAAACCAACCCGGAATGAATCCAAATTTTGCACACAAGTCCCAAATGACATAAGGAGTCTATACTAATTCCCGAAACCACAATCCAAATCCGATATCAAAAAGTCCACTCCCGATCAAACTTTCCAAAAATCCAACTTTCGCCATTTCAAGCCAAATTCAACTACGGACCTCCAAATGACAATCCGGACATGCTCCTACGTCCAAAATCACCCAACAGAGCTAACGAACCATCAGAACTCCAATCCGAGGTCAAATACCAAAAAGTCAAATTTGGTCAACTCTTCCAACTTAAAGCTTAAACCGTAAAATTCATTCTTCCAAATCGATTCCGAATAACCTGAAAAACCAAAATCGACGATTTACATAAGTCATAATACATCATACAGAGCTACTCATATCCGTCCACTACCGAGAGAAGTGCAAATGCTCAAAACGACCGGTCGGATCGTTACAATGTGTTTCTCTTGTAACTTTTCTCATCTTCAAATTAATGGATACATTTCTCTACAAAATGCTCTATTATTACTATGTAATTTCTGAAATTGCTGGTATTGCCTCTCCATTTATATTGTAGTTCATAATTATATGATCAAAACATGCTAAAAATATTTCAGGATCCGAGTTGGATAAACTTTTGTAAATTCCAGCAATAATTTTTTATTTTTCTCGTAAACTTTTGAGTCTAAGGGGATTTCTTTTCCCATTCAAAAGGTGAAGGGGTATTATTTCCCTACACTAAAAAGTTAAGGGGGTAAAATGAAATTCACTCTACAAAAAGTGAAAGAACATCAAGCAACCACTATCGGTGTCAAATGGACGGATTAGGTCAGATTTAAATAGATTGACACCAATTATGTTAGACAAACGAGTCATGACCAGTCCACTAAATAGGGGCCGTTTGGTTTGGAGGGGGCAGGAGATTTAGTCCTTTTATTCATCTTGATCATCATAGTACAGTATAAGTATGAAGATCAAAAGTTGAATGTGAAAGATCAAAATAATCATATAAATTAAGTGACTATGATACCCTTCAAAAAATTATACCTTCATAAATAAATACAAAACTTTTAGGTTCCCTCAACCTTTTGCAATTAATATTTCAAAATTCTTGTATAATTTTGCGTAACTATGGAAAAAACAAATTCTTTTTGTCATGTTTTTATTATTGTCAGTCGCTTCTTTCTTAATTGTACACAAAATTTTACAAACATTTAATTCTTCCATTCTTTAAAGAAAATATATCATGTGTAAATAAATATTAGTTTCTCATTTTATTTGTTGCACGAATCATTTCACTGAAACATCAAAATGGAACAACTTCAAGAACAATATCTACAAAGAAATATTAGGTGAAATATACGGTCATTTTATATTCATAACAACTAAATTTATGTAATTATAAAATACACTTGTCTAACTAAATATAATTATTGATCTTCGCAAAGCTATCTAGTCAATTTGAGTTCAACACTACATCTCTAAAACTATTTATTATTTTTAGCTTGTATTTTTTTCTTTTGATATTTTGGTGTAATATTTCACATGTTTTAATAATATTTTCATTTTTTTATACTGCTTGTACTGAATAACACGTGCAACGCACGCATCAAGACACTAGTTAGTATATATTTGTGACATTTAGACATATAAGACTTTTGATGTTGCATTAATTACTTTATTACTCCATTATTTTGTGGTTTGGGGGTTTTCTCTAAATTGTTATGAAGATTCTTATTGCTTCTTTCATTTCTTTTATGGAAGGTGGAGGCGCTATTAATTCTAAGGCAGTTAAATTGCAGTTTCCATAATCTCGAAAGATACAAAAGGCGCTAGTTTTCAACAACTGACATGGACGTAGTTGAGACTTGTGGAGAAGGAATTCTTTCTTCGGCAGGGCCTTCCGCCCAATGTAGTTTGCCATCAATCGATGAGGAAGTTGTGGGCTTTGAGAAAGAAGCAGAAAGTATAATGAAGAAATTGATTGGAGGAACAAAGGAGCTGGACGTTATCTCAATCTTTGGAATGCCAGGATTGGGTAAAACAACCTTGGCCAGGAAAGTGTATAACACTCCTTCTATTGTAAATCACTTTGATGCTAGAGTATGGTGCTCTGTTTCGTAAACATATATAGAGAGGACATTGTTGATTGAGATTCTTAAACAAGCTACAGGTGGCAACTGTGAAATCAAAGAGGACGATGACATAGCTGACAAGTTGCGGAAGACTCTAATAGGCAGGAGATACCTCATCGTATTAGATGATATATGGGAAGTCGAGGCATGGGAAGATTTGGGATTATGTTTCCCTAAGGGTGAAGATGGAAGTAGAGTGATGGTGACAACTCGAATTGAAGAGGTGGCTAAGCATCTTCAGCACAACGGTGATCCTTATTCTCTTAGATTTCTTACATTGAAAGAGAGTTGGGAATTATTGCAGAGGAAAGTATTTCGAAGAGAGAGTTGTCCACCTGATCTACTGGAAGCAGGGTTACAAGTGGCGGAACATTGTAAGGGATTGCCTCTTGTAATAGTCTTGATTGCCGGGATTATTGTGAAGATGGCAAGGCAGGAGTCCTTGTGGTTTGAGGTTGCAAATGACTTGAGTTCTCATGCTTTAGGAGAGCAGAGCATGAAGGTAATACAATCAAGTTATGAGCATTTAGAAGACCACTTAAAGCCTTGCCTTCTTTACATGGGCTTGTTTCCAGAAGACTATAAGATTCCAGTGTCTGCTTTGCTGAATTTGTGGATAGCCGAAGAGTTTGTACTGAATGTTGACACAGAGAATTATATGGAAGAAGCAGCTAGAGTTTGCTTGAATGATCTGCTTAGCAGAAGCCTAGTAATGGTCTCTAAAAGGAGACGTAATGGTGACATAAAATACTGCATACTTCATGATGTAGTGCGTGAGTTTTGCTCAGCAAAACTTAGAGAAGAAAAGTTTGTGCAGCTTATAGTGCCATACAATCCATATAAACATTTGTATAATAAGGAATCGCGGTTATGCACTTATATTCATGATGATCTGGTGGAACAATTAGATCATTGTGAATATCAGGTGGATAAGATTACAATACACGAGTCCGAGGAAAGTACAAAGTGTTTTGGTCAGTGTTCTAAGTCGTCTTTGGAGTTCATTGCTCATCCAGAATTTGAAACATGGAAAAACCGATCAAATCCTTTACGTTTACTTGTTGAATTAAAACTTGTTCGGGTGTTGCATTTGATGGATGTGGAAACAAGTTCATCATGGGTTCCAACAGTAAAGCTGCTAACTCACTTGAGGTACCTTGCGCTTTATGTCAAAGATCAATTTGAATTCAAGTGGGTATCACACCTACACGATCTTCACACTCTAAAGGTTGCTTCAAGAAAGACATTATTCCCACGTTCGTCTGGTCTCTGGAAAATGAACAAGTTAAGGCATGTGAATATAAGAAAATTTTTCTTGTTATTGGAAAACGAGGAAGAAGAATCTTCAGAAACTCTGCTGGAGAACCTGAAGACATTTCGCAATCTTCGTGTGCACGTGAATGATAGAAATCCAAGGTTATGGTGGAGGTTTCCGAATTTAGAAGAGTTGGGTCTCAGCCTTGGAAGTTTACCCTGTCCTTCTTTGTTCCCCATATCGGAACTTCATACACGCCTTCAATCTCTTGACCTTGAATGCCCATGTAAGACTTATCGCTACCCGCATTCAGTTGGATGGGAGAGCTACTTTGTCTTCCCTTCAAATCTTAGGAATTTGAGGATTCAATAACGAAAGAATTAACATCAAACATAGCAAGACTGCAGAAACTTGAGAATCTCAAAATAATCTGGGGATTATTATTGGGTAAAGAGTGTTGGGACGTTAGAGAAGCGGAGTTCCAGGCACTTAAATACTTGACATTAGAGTGGATGGATCTAAGAGAATGGAAAGCTTCAGAGAAATCCTTTCCCGTGCTTCAGAAGCTACTCATAAAAGGTTGTTGACGATTCAGCTATGAATATTAAAAGAGAAATTGAAGAAACCACTGGACGTGACACTCTCCAACTTAAGATGTACTATTAATCCTTTCATTGTTGGATTTAGATTGAACTTATGATCTGACTCTATCATTTGATTTATTCTACATATATTGTTAATTTATTTGACTTGTGTTGATTGGATTGGATTTCAATCCTCTAATCGGAAGAGGTTGTTTGAGTTTTTATTTTTAATTCTCATGTGCATATTATCCAGTTGATTCAAAATGCTGGATTCGAAGTAATGAAAATCATACAAGGATCATGAGTATCCAGCTCTTTCAATCAACTGAGTTAATCATAAAGATGAGATGCAAATCTAGGTTCCACGATCACAGGGAGTGGGAACATAGAATGAGTAGTCAATCCAAAATATTCCTCCCTATTCATATCCTCTGGCTTCATATTTTCGGGCAATTTCCAACTGAACCCCACGGATCAAATTTGCCAAAGCTAATCGCGCAATTTTAACTCCAGGGACTGTAAGCTGGGCACCTGCTTCTTTCTGAACCAAATGGTATTTGAGTTTTGTAATACAAAAGTCACTTTTTTATTTTTTGTAACATAAAAATCGAGAGTTTTTAACCAAAATTGTCCCTTATCTTTGTGTCACGACCCAAAATCCAACTAGTCGTGATGACAACTAACTCAACTCGCTAGGTAAGCCGATCAACAACTATCCAATCCTAATGAAATTTAATAAGGCAAATAAGTAAAGAAAAATCTCTAAATCTTATACATTTCCCAAGGACTGGTAGTACAAATCATGAGCTTCTAAGATTACAATTTACAAAGCTGGTATGAAATAAATACATCATCTGTTCGAAATATACATAAACTGATTTTTATAATCTAAGGCTACCATGAATAAGAGGCAGCTACAACCGGAACACTGGTATGTCTTCAATTCCAGCTCCCGTCGATCACAGCAACATCAGCAGCCAACACCTACACGCAAGGTGCAGAAGTGTAGTATGAGTACAACCGACCCCATGTACTCAATAAGTAACAAACCTAACCTTAGGTTAAAAGTAGTGACGAGCTGGAACAAAGTTCGGGTCAACACCAATAACCAACAACAGTTCATAACAACGTAAATCAAGTAATAAAAGAAGTAACTCGGAGATAAAATGCTCAGCTTATTCATAGTTTCCCGAAAAATAGTTCCGCTTTTCAAGTATATCAGTGAAAACCCAAATCCTTTACCTAAATCGTCGAAAATATGAGTAAGTTTAAAAACTGTAGTTTTTCCCAAAAATCCTTTCAACAATAAATAAGATGTTTCATTTTCTTTCCAGATAGCAAGTGTAAAATACATCTCTAAGCCCATATGTCAATATGTGTGAAAAGTCATGAATGACGTGATACCATACAGTCGTGAGTAGAGTACAATTACCTCAGTCCACATGGTGAACATTGCTTCAAGAATCGCCTCAATCCGAGTTTCATAGCTCCAAAAATGCAAAAATAGCTGAAACCGCTGAAATACAGTACTTTATAATCTGCCCAGGCATCCCTCTTATGCAAACACGGGAAGTCCATCACGTTCACGATGAATAAAATGTGCTGCCACCCAAATTACTCTATGCGATCGCGAACAAGTCTCCGCTAACGCGAAGAACAACTTAGTAGCCTCACCAAACACTACGCGATCGTGGATTTAACCGTGCAAACGCAGAACACACTGCTCCCACACTACGCGAACGCGGCGACACTTGTGCGAACGTGAAGAAGAAACTCAGATTCCAGCTACCCTCTCTTTACCCTATGCGAATGCGCCCTACACAATGCGAACGCGAACAATGACCAGTTCCAAGGTATGCGATCGCGTCCCTCTAATCGCGACCGCGATTAAGAAACTTCCTAGCTCCTGTTCTCCCTCTACGCGATTGTATCACATTCTTCGCGATCGCGAAGACCAAATGAGGCACCAGAAACTAGATTACACCATCAATCAAACATGAAGGAAAAATGATCTGAAATTAATCTGAAACACGCCCGAGCCCCTCGAGATCCCGTCTGAACATGCCAACAAGTCCAATAATATAACACGAACCTACTCATCAATGGCAGTATACAGAAGTGTTGGATATGAGGCTTTATTTGATAAGAGATTTATTATCGATATTCGGTTGTTCTGAGCAACTGCTGTGATTAGAAGTTATTGCTACGAGAGTTTGAGCTATGTGGTATATCATGTAATTGCATTTGAGGCTGCAGGTATGGTTTGTTACAACTTGTTCGGACTTATTCAGAGTATAGATGTGAGATTCAGATCTTATAGATTATTTCAGAAGTGGAAATTTGGTTCTAAGGTTTATGAGCTAGGTTGGATTGTGAAATTTCAGTTATGTTGTGTTATCGGACCTATATGGGATAGGGTGACGTGGGATCACCCCCGGGTATGTACATGGTAAGATTATGCAGCGATTTGATGGTTTTTTGAACAACTCTAGGCACGTTCGAGGACTAACGTATGTTTAAGTGGGGGAGGATGTAACGACCCGACCAGTCGTTTTGAGCTTTTGCACTTCGCTCGCCAGTTCTCGGGCATGAGTAGCCCCGTGTGATGTATTATAACTTATGTAAATCGTCGATTTTGATTTTTAGGGTAATGGGAATGGATTTGGAAGAACTGTTCTCAGTTTGAAGCTTTAAATTTGAAAGGTTTGACCAAGTTTTTGTTTTTTTAGTATTCGATCTTGGATTTGTATTTTTACGATTTGGTTAGCTCCGTTAGGTGATTTTGGACTAGGGAGCGCGTCCAGAGTGTATTATGGAGGTCCGTGCTAGATTTAGGCTTGAATTGGCGAAAATTGGAAATTTGGCATTTTCCGGTCGGCAGTGGAAATTATGATATCGGGGTCGAAATGAAATTTTGGAAATTGGAGTAGTTCCGTTGTGTCATTTATGACGTGTGCAAAGTTTTAGGTCATTCGGGCGAGGTTGGATAGACTTTTGATCGAAATCGGAATTTGGGAAGTTTTTGGAGTTCTTAGGCTTAAATCCATGGTTGATTTGATGTTTTGAAGTTGTTTTGAGGGTTCCGAAGGTTGGAACAAGTTTGAATGATGATATGAGATATATTGGCATGCTTGGTTGATATCTCGCCGGGCCTCGGGTGTGTTTCGGGTGGTTAACGGATCAATTTTTGGACCTTGGACTTGGCAGATTTTCTGGTATTGTTGCAGAAAATTCTTGTTCATTGCGTTCGGTGGGGTCCCGCGTTTGCGAAGAGTAAATAGGGAAGCTGAGGAATTTGTTCTATGCATTCGCGAGGAGGAGTACGCGAACGCGGAGGTTGAGTAAAGTGTTCTATGCATTCGCGCTCAAAGGGCCGCGTTCGCGAAGGGTAGTGGCCGCTGGGGACCCCAAGTCACTTTGGTCTATACGTTCGCGTGTCAGAGAACGCGTTCGCGAAGGAGTGAGTTGGTAAAGCTTCGCGTTCGCGAAGGGCATTTTGGAGGCAGGCGAGATTAGCCTACGCGAACGCGAGAGGACCTCCGTGTTCGCGTAGAAAGAATATCTGGGCAGTCAGATTATATTTAAAAATCGAGGGTTTAAGTCCAATATCTCAAAAACCATTAGAGAGCTCGGGAGAAGGTGAAATTTGAGGAGATTTTTAGTGGATTAATTGGGGTAAGTATTCTTCGCTCATATTTGCTTTAATTCCATGATTTAGTCTTGAATTTCATCATTTAATTTGAGAAATTAGAGTGAAAATTGGGGCTAAATGGAATAAAAGTTTGAGAATTCTTTTGGGGATTTGAATGGGCAATTGAGGTCGGATTTTGATAAATTTGTTATGGGTAGACTCGTGAGGTAATAAGGATTCTAGTTTTGTGGTTTTTATTGAATTTCGAGACGTGGGCCCGAGGGTCGGGTTTGGCCAATTTCGGGATTTTTGATGTAACTTGGTTATTTTCGAGTGGGCTTTGTTCCCTTAGCATAATTTGATGGTATGAATCTGATTTTGGTTAGATTTGGAGCAATTGGAGGCCGAGTCGAGAGGCAAGGGCATTGCGGGCTAGAGTTTGGACCGAATTGAGGTAAGTAATGATTGTAGATGTTGTCCTGAGGGTATGAAACCCCGGATTTCACATCGTTGTGCTATTTTGAGGTCACACACACGCTAGATGACGAGCGTGGGGTTGTGCACCGTTGAGGATTGTGACTTGGTCCGTCCCGTCGACTGTTAAGTCACGTATTTGATTGAAAACTATTTGATACTATTGTGTTTTGGAAAGTATTATTATATTTTGAGCTGAATGCCATATTTGGGCCTCGCGCCAACTATCTGGACCCTTAAGGGCTTTTTACTACTATTCCTCACTGTTTTGACTTAATATTTGTACTCAGTCATGCTATATTTTACTGATTTCATAACTCAACCTTATTAACCCAGTTTTGATGCTATAGATGATATTTTGGGCTGAATGCCCTGTTTTACTGATAGTCCGAGTGGCTTGTGAGGTTGATGGCCGAGAGAGGCCGAGGGCCTGGTTGTGAAGATTATATATTTATGGATGGGGCTGCACGCCGCAACAATATATATATATATATATATATATATATATATATATATATATATATATATGGATGGATCGGGCTGCACGTCGCAGCAATATATCGCTTGGGCATTAGGAGCCCCTCCGGAGTCTGCACACCCCCAGTGAGCGCAGTGGACTATATATATGGATCGGGCTGCACGTCGCAGCGATATATGGATCGGGCTGCACATCGCAACGGTTATTATATGGTACCTATTGAGCGTGAGTGCTGAGTGTGAGCACTGATTGATAAGAGTTGAGTCATGAGTGACTAAGAGGCTTGCCCGAGGGGCTATATATACATGTATACGAGTGATGCTTTGCTTTAGCGGCTTGTTTTATGAAATTACGGTTTTTCACTCATCTTTATACTGAGCCTCTATCGAAAATGTTAAACAAATGTTTTGAACAACTTTCATTGGAATTGGAATTTTTACGAGATGTTTGGAAGTTAAATTACTGATTTGGTTTTGTTATTTCCACTGAGATTTTCATGTTATGTGATATATATGAATGACCGAGAGGTTTGCCAGAAGGGCTATTTTGCCCGAGGGGCCGATTACGATTTTTCATCACTTTTCCTATAAACTACATTGAACCTTTATTGAAACTGTTAGAAAGTTATCTTTCAAAGGATTTTACTGAAACCGGGGTTTAACGAGATGATTTGATATGTATCCTGTTTTGGAAAAATTACTGTACCCGTCGTGGTGCTATGACGTGGATTAAGTAATTTCTTACTACTCAGACTTTATTTACTTTTATTACTTACTGAATTGGCGTACTCACATTACCCCCTGCACCTTGTGTGCAGATTCAGGTATTTTTGAGCTCGATGGTAGGTTCATCGGATTTAGCAAGGTAGCTGCCTGGCGATCGCAGCCCTGCTTTTCTCCCTTCTTATTCTTCCTTAATGTATTTTTGTGATTTTCCCAGCCATATTGGTCTTGATTTTGTTAGACAGTTGTAGTAGATGCTCATGACTAGTGACACCCCGATATCGGACTTGTGTATTTATTCCGCACTGTTCATTTAGACTTACATCGTAAGATTATTGATTAATAAATGGTATAAAAATGACTTTTATTGAATAATGGTTGATTCGGGAATTGTGTTGGCTGGCCTAGTTTCACGATAGACACCATCACGACCGGGTCGGTTTTTGGGTCGTGACAAATATATCATTGAAAAGGTATTTCAAAGGGATACAACTTTTATGTTTTGGGTGTTCCCAAATTCTGAACAGATTTTCACTAAATCCTGCTGGAAGAGAGACCTTCCATAAACTTATTCGATTTTATCGAATCTAATGCGCATCATTCTCCGTCTTGATTCCAAAATAAGTATTTCCACCCGTACTCATCCCGAAAGGACTTTATATGTCTAAAATATTAAATGAATACTCATTTAACACATCCACACCTAGTCCGAATTTACGGAGTGTTACAAGCAATGCTTGTAGCTCCTAGTCACAAAATATTGTCCACTAGTTGTTAAGCAGTAAGAGCCATTTTGGTACCAGTCTACCATACTAGCTTTAAGTGCATGCAGTTACCTCCAATACCAGCTACTATCTAGTGGTGGTTCATGAGTCCAGAAATCCTGATTATTTCTTCCTATAAATACCATGAACCCATTTGACCCACAAAATATCTTCCTTCCTTTCCAATTGCTAGACAAGCTTGCCTACAGAGGCTACATTCTACTTTGTGCAACTTTTTATGTTTAACCCTCCATACATCTTTTGAACAATACACTTTCCCATGATACCAGTGCTATCTTCCTCTTATCATCAGTGTTGCCCCACATATATTCTCTGCATTTTCTGTCGACTTCCTTTAAAACACTTTGAGACAATATGAACCGTGTGTCCCAAAAATTGCATATTGAAAATAGAACTGCATTTATTATTTGCAGGCTCTAAGACAATGTTCTAGAATAGCCACTAGTAATTCTACTGCCACGTCATTAAATTGTTACTGAAAATATATACATTTTTCGGTTAAGTGTATTTAATGTGGTATAGAAGTAGTAATGTCACTTTTCTATTACAAAACAAAGAAAATTGACTTTGCTATACCATTTCCAATGTTTGAATGACCATATAAGCAATATATATACAACTAAAACTAAAGGAAAAAATAAAAAAGCAAGAAAAAACAGAAAAAAAAACACTTCCACGCAAGGGCCAAGGAGGGGGACCTGGAATACCTCCCAAGACTGAAAGAAAACATCCAAAATGGGTTAAGGTGTAACGTTTATAAACTAAGGTTTTTGAGGGGCAGAAGGTTTACTCCACCTTTTGTTCATCTTGATTATATATTGGTGACCTTGCACATAGTACTTTACATGTGGCATTACTTTATTACTGTATTACTATTTTTTGTTTTTTGTTTTTTTGGTTAGGGTTTTTCTATAAATTATGATGATTGTTAATCTTGTTTTCATTGCTTTTACTGAAGCAGGCAGAGGTATTTGGTTTCATAAATAGTGAAAGACACGAAGCCAACTAACATGAAAGTTATTGTTAAGACTTGTAAAAGAAGAACTCAAGCTCCTGCAGAGCCGTCCACCCAAAGTAATTTTTCATCGATTAACGAGGAAGTTGTGGGCTTTGAGGAAGATGATCAAAGTATAATGCAGAAATTGACCGGAGGAACAAAGGAGCTTGACGTTATCTCAATCTTTGGAATGGCCGGTATTGGGAAAACAACTTTGGCGAGGAAAGCGTACAACAATCCCTCTATTTTTTGATGTTAAAGCATGGTGTACTCTTTCACAAGCATATAATGTCAAGACCCTGTTAGTTGAGATTTTCAAACAAGCAACACGTGATAGGAGTGAAATCAAAGAGGACGTTGACATAGCTGATGTGTTGCGCAAAAGACTAATAGGTAGGAGATGCCTCATTGTATTAGATGATATATGGAAAGTTGAGGCATGGGAAGATTTGCGATTATGTTTCCCTAATGATGAAAATGGAAGCAGAGTAATGGTTACAACTCGAATTGAAGAAGTGGCTAAGCATCTTCAGCACCGCAGTGATCCTTATTCTCTTAGATTTCTGACACCCGAAGAGAGTTGGGAATTATTGCATAAGAAAGTGTTTCAAGGAGAGAGTTGTCCCCCCGGATCTACTGTATGCAGGGTTACAAGTTGCCCGACATTGTAAAGGGTTGCCTCTTGCCATTGTCATGGTTGCTGGGATTATTAAGGAAAAGGAAAGGAAGGCATCCTTGTGGCTAGAGGTTGCAAATGACTTAAGTAGTCAAGTTTTAGGAGAGCAGGGTATGAAGGTAATACAAACAAGTTATGACCATTTAGAAGACCACTTAAAGCATTGCCTTCTCTACATGGCATTGTTTCCAGAAGACTATGAGATTCCAGTGACTAATTTGCTGAAGTTGTGGATGGCCGAAGAGTTTGTACTGAATGTTGACAAAGAGAACATGGAGGAAGCATCTAGCATTTGCTCGAATGATCTACTTAACAAAAGCCTTGTAATGGTCTCTAGAAGGAGAATTAATGGTGACGTAGAATGCTGCACACTTCATGATGTAGTGCGTGAGTTTTGCTTGACAAAACTTAGAGAAGAAGAGTATATGCAGCCTACAGTGCCATACAATCCCTATCAACATTTGTATTCCAAGGAATCGCGGTTATGCGTTTATATTCAGGATGATTTGGTTGAACAACTAGATCATTCTGAATATCGGCCGGATAAGATTAAAATGTTAGACTCCGAGGAAACGTCTTTGGAGTTCATTGCTCATCCAGAAATCAACGCATGGAAACGATCAAATCCTTTACCTTTACTAGTTAAATTAAGATTTGTTCGGGTGTTGCATTTGATGGATGTGAAGTTGACAAGTTCCAGCGCTAAAGCAGTACAATCGCTAACTCTCTTGAGGTACCTTGCAGTTCGTGTTGAAGATGAATTCGAATTCAGCTGGGTATCACAGCTACACGATCTTCAAACTCTACAGGTAATTTCTTCAGTAGCATGTTTACACCCAAGGGCTACTTATTTATGGGAAATGAAGAAGTTAAGGTCGTTAGGATTTGCCTTGATTTTCTAATCTATTAGGATTCTCTTTCTTGAAGGAATGGAAGAAGACTCCTAAAAGGACTAAATCTCCTTAATATGTTTTATCCTTTTCTTGGAAGACAAGTTTTGCACATCTATAAATTAATGTTTTCTGCTTCTCACAAGAAAAAAAAAACAAAAAAAGAATATCCACAATGTAGTCATTAAAGAGTTTTGTTTAAGGGGAGATTTTTCTGTCGATAGTTTTTCTTCTTTTAAATTAGTTTTATCATATGTAGCTCAATTGACCAAACCATTATAAACTATTATGCTTAGTTTAGTATATTTTTCTTTTGTCGTCTGATTTATCGTCCACCAAGCTTTGTATTGTTAGTTTCCGCATGCACCATGTTATTTCGATCCCAACAAGTGGTATCAGAGCCAATGGTTCAGAGTCAACGGTTGAACGAGGTTGAAGACAGATTCAATGCGTGTTTGGATCAAGACGATAATGAAGGTTTATTCAACATGCTACATGCGGAGATAAATTTACAATCACAATTGTATTCAAAACGCTGCTGCCGCATCTTTATTAAAAACTCTTTCTAACCCATATTTTGGCCGCTTTTAACCAATGCCAGTTTTAAGTCATGCCTACTTGCAACGCATGATTTCCAGTGCCAGTTTTAACTCACGCTTCTTTTTAATGCACGAGCTTCTTTTATCCCATGTTTATTCTTAACACGTGGGCTCCTTTTAACCCATATTTGGGCTTCTTTTAACCAATACCAAAAATTTCAACCTATACCGTTTTTTTATCATGGCAAGCAGCAGTGATGAAGATTATGTGAAGAAGGTGAATCAATTTTGTCAAGAAAATTCAGGCCAAGGGGAGATTGTTAGGATTTGACCTGAATTTCTAATCTATTAGGACTCTCTTTCTTGAAGGAATGGAAGAAGACTGCTACAATGACTAAATCTCTTTAATATGTCTTATCCTTTTCTTGGAAGACAAGTTTTGCACATCTATAAATTAAGGTCCTCGGCTTCTCACAAGAAAAAAAACAAAAAAAAAAAAATATCCATAATGTAGTCATTAAAGAGTTTTGTTTAAGGGGAGATTTTTCTCTCGATAGTTTTTCTTCTTTTAGATTAGTTTTATCATATGTAGGTCAACTGACCAAACTATTGTAAACTATTATGCTTAGTTTAGTATATCTTTCTTTTGTCGTCTGATTTTTTGTCTACCAAACTTTGTATTGTTAGTTTCCCCATGCACCATGTTATTTCGATCCCAACAAAGGCATGTGAATATAAGCAGTTTTTCCTTGGAATGGAAATACAATGACCGAGCAATTATTCAAAATCGTTCCAACAACTATGCTCGAGAACTTGAAGTCATTTCGCCGTTGCCTTGTACGCGTGGATGATATGAATCCAAGGTACTGGTGGATGTTCCCAAATCTTGAAGAGTAAGCCTCAAAATTAAAGAAGTGCCTAGTTATCCTTTGTTTCCCGTACCGGACGTTCATACTCGGCTTCTATCTCTTCATCTGGCCTTCAACCATAGGGGATTCTGGGATTCAGTTGGATGGGAGAGCTACTTTGTCTTCCCTTCAAATCTTAGGAATTTGCATCTTAGTGGCAGTTTCTTAACGGAAGAAATGGTTTCAAACATTACAAGATTGCGGAAGCTTGAGAGTCTCACATTATATATGGGATTTCCTCTGGGGGCATCAGGGTACTGTTGGGACGTCAGAAATGTGGACTTCCCTGCACTCAAATACCTGACATTAAAGGCACTGATGATGAATGAATGGAATGCTTCAGACGAATCCTTTCCCATGCTTGACAATAATCTAGTTCTAAGAGATTGTTACTACTTTAAGGAGATCCTCCTTGCTTTGTGGATATTCCAACGCTACGACTTATTGAACTGTCTGACTGCCTCGACTCTCTTGTGTTTTCAGCTTTGAATATTAAAAGAGAAATTCAAGAAAACACCGGATTTGACAGTCTCCAAGTTCTTATATCGAGGCGATAAATTAGCTGGTAAGGAAAACAATTTTTTTTTTTAGTAAAGCTCCCCTATATATCTATGTAGTAATGGGAGAAATGCTTGTTCGTTTTGCTCCTGTTCTTGGACATGAAATTTGACCTTAGATAGTGAAGTTTTGGTAATATTATAACGGAAAATATATTTGGCCAAACCAAGAATGGCCCAAACGTCCCAAATGGGGGTATAATGGTAATTTCGTACGGCTTTTGAGGGCATAATGGATATTTGTGCATTTTCGTTTTCCATATGTACCCTTTGGCAGATTTTTCGTTTTAGTTTAATTTTTTCAACAATTCTCTCACACTAATTTAATTGTTTTACCTTCCCAAGATGCATGCTTCATCATTTTCCATAAAGCTCCTTTACATATACTATACTAATTAAACGAAATACACTAAAATATACATATACTATACCAATTAATCGAAATACACTAAAATATACAAATAATATATTAGAGGAAATACGTATAAAAATTAGAGGAAATACGTATAAAAATTACAGATTTATGATTAAAGTGGTCACTTTCTAACCCTAAACACTTAATATATTTGGCCAAACCTAAAAAGCTTTTCCAGCCCCCATTTTTCTATCTTTGTTTTCTCCTTCTTCATCTCTTATCTTTCTTAGGGTTAGATTGAGGAATGGACCACGGGAAGAGGAATAATGCTTCGAAAGTTTATGTAGTGTTTCGTGGTAAGAGGCCTGGATTGTACAACTCTTGGCATTGGTGTGCTCCTATGATTATTGGTGTCAAGGGTAGCATCTTCAAGGCCTTCAAAACGTATGATGAAGCCATAGTAGCTTTTAATGAGTTTAGAAATGGATCTCAAGCTAACAGGTTATCGGCATCGAAAGTGTATGTGGTATTTCGTGGTAAAAAGCCAGGATTATACAACTCTTGATGTGAGTGTGCTCCTATGGTTATAGGTTTCAAAGGAAGCATCTTCAAGTCTTACAAATCTTATGATGAAGCAGTAGCAACATTCAATGAATTCCAAAAAGAAAATGTTTACATTGAAGAACAATCTTCAAGTTCGTGTGTTGATGAAAGTGATGTTGGAGCAAGTGCTATGTCATCTGTGTTGCTAGCTGGAATGTTTGTAGGGATGAAGATTTCAAAAAATTATTCAGTTTGATTGTTGATAAGAGTATTTTGTTCAGCATTTTATTATTGTTTAGTTTGGTTATTATCAGTTTGATTGTTTAGTTTGATGTGTTACTGGTTGCAGCATTCAATCTTTGTAGAATAGAGTATTTAGGATGCCAAAGCCTTTGTCTTTTGTACTCCATGTTGGAATGGAATAAAATATGTCTCTTGAATTTTAAAAAAAAGTATTTTGAACTGAACTGAATGTTTTAATTTGTCTATATTGTTGGAACCTTGTAAGTGCCAAAGTGTTATCATTTTGAACTTGTTTTAATCTGTACTACATAAGCACTCAACTATCTTCAAGTACTCATCAACTATCTTCATAAGTTCAATATGTGCTATATTTTGCATCTTGAAGTACTAAACTATCTTCATATTTATTGACAATACATTTTCCTATTGTCCAATGTTGGTGTCATAAGTTGAATGTGCTATATTAATTTGAAAAATAAATTGACCAATTTTACAGGACTTAATTAATCTTTACAGATGTTACGTACTTTCATTTCATTAGGCATCAAATGAACAGTTGTAATATTGTAGACAATAGGACTGTTTTGTTAACTTGAATCAAACGATCATTATGCCTCACTGTTTTTTGAAGGGTTTTCTATACCCTTGTGTTGTATCATCAAACTCTATTTTTGCTAATACATGACCCCCAGGTAATCTGGAAAAAGTTCATAAAAAACTATATAAAAAATAAAAAAATTCAAAACATAATAATAATTTCATTCATTAATATTAGATTGCATGATAACATCACCAATACATAACGAGAAAAATAAAAACCATAGGGGGTAGACAACTTCATAGACTAGTAGAAAAACATCAACATAATCAAAAAGACAACATGAGATAAAACTTCATCCATGGACTACTCAATATTCTAGTTCACTGAAATAGACTTTGAGGTCTTGGAGACTGATTCTGTATCACTACTGATAACAATGATAGAATTGCTCTTAGTTCCACTATGGATGGATAGTGTGGGCATATCGTCAAGCATAGTATAGAGTGAAGTTAGGGGATGCTCCTCCAACATCACAATTTTTAGGTAATCAATGCTTGAATCACGAACCACCCTCTCAATCAATTCATTAATCTCACACTTCAGCTTGCTATAGTCACGCTTAAGATCCTGGTACAAAATATTATGACTAACCGGTGAGCCATGGAGCGGTTGTTCAATAGCTTTCTTGGTCGGAGTCCTATCTATCGTTATGCTTAGATGTAGTAGTATTTTCAGTTTGATTGTTTTATGTAGATCTAGCATATTTCACTCAAAATATATAGGGAGGATTATAATCTCTCAATTATAATAGCTATTCCACTTCCCAATAGGAATTAAAGTCTCTTTGTAGAGACCCTATGCAACCATTGCACTTCCCAATAGAAATATCCGCTCCTCCATGCAGACATTACACATCCAAGCAGACCCTTCCACTCCTCCATGCATCCATTGCACTTCTCCATGACTACAATTAATTATAGAAGCTTGTCTTTAATTTTATCCATCCGCCTATACAGATTTTGAATTTTTTTTTTTTGGAAAAAAAAACTTCTGCCATATAGTGGCAGTGCACTTCATAGGTTTTATGTAGGGGTGTTCATAAAAATCCGAAAACCGAACCAAACCGAAAACCAAACCAAACCGACAAAAAAAATCGATACTTTTTGGTTTGGTTTGGTTTTGGTTTTGAATTTTAAAAACCGATCAAATTTGGTTTGGTTTTGGTTTTAATCAGAAAAAAACCGAATCAAACCGACTATAGAGTAGCTATTTCAAATTTATTATTACACCTATATATATGTATATTGTTATACAAAGTTTCAAAAAATTTATGGTAAATGTTAATAGTTTGCACTTTTAATATAGTTCTTTACCTTTACATTCTAGTTTG